TACACAAGGTCTTAAATAAGACTACCCCAGACATAGGACAAGATTGCTGGTTGTGCCTAAACCCAAAAACCCCTTACTATGTCAGGGTAGGAACTCCCCTAAACTTAACTGAGCTCAGCAGGCCAGAACTTCAAGTCGATTCACTAGCAGAAGTAGTCCTTCAGAATAGAAGAGGTTTACATTTATTATTCTTAGAAGAAGATAGATTATGTATGGCTCTAGGTGAAACCTGTTGCGTCTATGCCAATAACTCTGGAATAATTAGAAAAAGGTTACAACTAGTACAGAGAAATTTAGATGCCAGGGAAAAACAGAGACTAAAATCAAATAACTGGTTTCATAGGATGTTCAATTGGTCATCATAGCTAACAACCCTTCTATCTGCTGTAGCTGAACCTTCTTGTTAACTTTTGGCTCATGTTTCCTCAATTTCTTGTTTACATATATAAGAAAGAAAATTAATTCTATTAGACTTTTAGTATTACAAAATAGAGACTATGAGCAAATTCCACATGAAGAATCAAGGATTTGATTTTCTGCTAAGGCCAGTGGGGAATGTGCTGGCTGGAAAATTACTGCTTGGCTATCGCCCATGGGAACATGGGTTATCACTCATGGGAACATAACATTCTAACAATAAGCTTTCTGCTTCTGTACCCCCACTTGCACAACCGACCTGTGGATTGACAGGTAGTGAATAGGAGAAATATAGACCTTTGTGTTTAAGACAGAATGAGGAATGGGATTTAGGGCTTAAAAACCCTGTACCTCTACATTTCGGGGCTGCTTAATTTGGGGGTCTGCGTACCCCTGGCAGACCCAGCTGGCTGAATAAAGAACATTATTTCCTGTAACTCACTGAGTTCTGGTGGTCCGTGTGTCTTTCCGGGACTGGTGGCTACAACAGTGGGAACAGAAATCCAAGATAATACATGTTGAAGGTTTGAGGAAGGGAAGGGGTTCCTTTCAGAATTCCAGGGCTGACTGCCTCAAGTTTGGATAGGGTCCTTGACCTGCCTTCAGAGGTCAGTTTTCAGGAATTAACCTGGAGTGAGAAATACAGTTCTGGAGGTAAGGAATAACCTGAGAGTAAATGTGCCAAAAAATTAAACATACATTATAATGTGGGGCCTAATTTATTAAATGGTTTTGTAAGATTTTCTTGAGGGTAAGCTGACAAATAAATTCTTCGTTACTTGAAATGTAATAATCAGGTAGAAAAGAAAGATTCCTTGAGGTCAAAGTGGAAGGACACCAGGAGGCTGGAAAGCAGGGGTTCTTTTAGAGCCCTTGAAACTATATGCAATACAGCGCATATAATAAACATTTCTCAGGGAAGAGGGTTCTGAGCTGTCATCAGCTTCTCAGAGAAGCAAAGGGACCCAAAAAGGTGCAGGATCCCTGCCCTACATCATGTCTTCAGGGACTCTGAGCAATAAACGCAGAAGTGCTGGGGAAGACCAGCAGTTTGCCAGTATGACATGTTTTAGAGGGCGCGGGAACTGCCTGGCTTAAGGGAGATGCTCCTTTGCCCTCACCGGATCCCTGGGGTCTACATTGCACAAGGTACGCTCCCGTCCCTTCTGCAGCGGGAGTTCAAGGCCTTTTTCTCCGATTCCGCCTCTTAGCGGGTTCAACCCAGGGCGTGGCAGGCTCAAATCTGTTCCCAGGCCCTGCAGCCGGTAACTAGCTGTGGCCACAACCGTGAGAACCCGCCCACCCAGACTCAGCGAGCGACGGCGTACCGTCGCCGAGCCGAACCCCGAGCGGTGCGCGCCCTCATTTTCCTGGCAGAGAGAGCGTGCTTCGTCATGTGTTCCATCCTACAAGACGTGCTGACGTCGCCGGAGGCCGGCAGTCGGTGCGGGAGCGGGTGGCGCGCGCCTGTTCGTTGGACACTACCTTGAGGGCGGGAGGCGCGCGGGGAGCGTAGCTGTGCGGGTCCTAGGGCGGCGGTCGCCGCCGCCGCCGCAGCGCCCCAGGAGGAGAGGGCCGAAGCGGCCAGACGAGCTGGGGATGGGGATGACCGGGCCCCGCACCTCTCCCGGGCGCGCGGGCGTCTCCGGGGGCGCACAGTGACGGCGGCGGCGCCACTGGCCCGGCAGCTCCGAGGCCGTTCGCCAGCCAACCCGCGGCCGGCGGCGGGCCGGGCCATGAGCAGCCAGGGCCGGGCCAGGCCTCGCTTGAGCCCGGCCCCGCGCAGCGGTCTCTCCCGTTTCCGCTCCGTCCACTCGGCATGAACGTCCGCCCGGGGACGGGGCCGCGGCTGCCCCAGCCCGGCGGCCCGAGGGGGCCTTCCGGACCGGCGGACCGACGGTGCTGATCCCGGCCGCCGCCAGCCTGCTGGCTGCCCCGGGGGCGCGGCCATGGAGGTGGTGGGCGACTTCGAGTACAGCAAGAGGGACCTCGTGGGACACGGGGCCTTCGCCGTGGTCTTCCGTGGGCGGCACCGCCAGGTGAGCCCCGCGGGCTGGGGCGAGGCCAGGGTGTGTGGCCTGCGGCGCCTCCGCCGTCCGCCCTCCGTTTTGCCCGCGCGGCCGCAGGCGGACTGGGGGGTCCTGCAGCTTGACGGAGCCGCGCGTGCGGAGGCCCCCTGACTTGGCTCGCAGAGGCCTGCCATTGTGCGCGCTGTCAGTGTTGCAGGGTTTGTTTTGGTTGGGCGAGGATTGTTTTGAGGCCGAAGCCGCTAGGCAGCGCACCACCTACCGACTCACTGCCCGGGCTCTGATTTAACCTCTTAGTCAAAGTGCCTGGTAACGAGTCTGCGGAGGGACGCACCCCTCTGGCCGCCCAAGCAAGGCTTTCACTTGAACGTACTCGAATTCTAGAGGACTACGCAGCTCCAGGCTCGGGCGTGGACCGAACTTTGTTTTTTTCCCTTACCCTGGGCGGCCAGGGCTCGGCAGGCACCTTTGAGGTCGATAATTGCAGACCCAGCGGAAAACGGGCTGGTTTCCCGTTCGCCCGAGGCTTTCTCAAACTCGGGGTGGTGGTGGTATCACATTTCCTAGCATTGGTTCCTCTACGTCCTGATGAGTCCGATACCATCTTCCTTTTTTTGGGGTTAGATAAGCGGGTTCCGAGTGGAAAAGATGTTGGATGCTCCATTTTCCAGTCTAAATAAATATGAAAGCAGGTTCAGCATTTTTTTTTTTTTAAGCTTTTACTATTTCGTAAATAGGGTCACGAGGTTTTAGAATTTAAAGAATTTGGAAAGTCACCTTGGGAGTGGAAATAATCATAAAAGGGTTTGGCAGTTCCGATTATTGCCAAGGGGCTGGTTTTGTTGCCTATCAGATAAAGTAATAAATACTACTGTTCATTATGGAAATAATTTGAAACTCAAAAATAGTTGAAAACACAGCCAAGCTATCACTTTTCTTTTAACCGTACCACCTTCCAGTTTATTATCCACATTTCACCATAACTTCTAAATAGTTGTAAAACTGTTCTTTTTTCACTTAATGCTAGTTACTATATGGTCTTTGTATTATTTTTTAGTGGCTGTCTTGTAGGACATTAGGTGTCAATGTTGTAATTTATGAAATCATTTTCCATTTGAAGATTCAGGTTCTTTTCCATTCCCCCCACCCCTCCTCCGCGGTGCTGTACATGAGTTTGCTAAAAACATCTTTATGCTTATAAGATTTTTTTTCTGTTGAATTATTTCCAAGGAATAATTTCCAGGAGTAACACTGTTTTTCCTTTTCAGAAAACTGATTGGGAGGTAGCTATTAAAAGTATTAATAAAAAGAACTTGTCAAAATCACAAATACTGCTTGGGAAGGAAATTAAAATCTTAAAGGTATGTTTATTTATGTGATATTTCATACTGGGTTAAAACTTATTTTAAATTAAATGACTACGTGATGAAGTCCTTTGCAATTTTGGTAGTTGCACCAAAGTTTGAGAATTTTCACCTGTTGCTCTTATTTTGCATGCTCAGTTTTTTAAAACTGAGTACTCAGAAGCTATTTTTAAAACTAGATGTTTGTTGCTTTTCCCAATACTAAGAGTCTATTAAAACCGATTTTAGATTCTTATAATTTCTTTTCTTCTTTCCCCTAGTTATTGTGTGATTGTTTGGGGGGATCCAGGCCTCTCTTACACGTTACTTTTTCTATTGATCCCTTTCACATTACAGTTAAGTTTTTTGGATGACTAGGGGAACTTGGGATCTTTTATCCTCTTAAGTTGAGGAAAGTTATTTTCCTTGGAAGTGGTCTTTTTAGATCATTTGTAAGCAATGTTATCCAAGTGAGATGCTTTGAGGAGAAAAAGGTTCTATGGTCAAATTTTGTTTATTAAATACTTCTTTGAGAGTTGCAAAGCACTTGACTCATTAAAGTCTGAAAAATTGCACAGTGAGGAAACCAGTTTAGAGTTTCTCAAGCTAATATGAACATGGAACCCTCATCTAACACTAGCTTTCATCAAAACTATTCTGTAGACAGCTCTTTGAGCTAAGAATTATACTTTGTTTTCTTTCAGGCAAATAATGTGCAGTTTTGGAATTTTATGCCTCTATTACTATTAGAAGTTGTATATTAAATTTAAAAGACCAGCAGAAAGTCTTGGTCATGCTTACTATGTCATTTGTTTTGTAAACAAGAGTACTTTCTTAAGTACCTTGAGTCTAAAAAATGATAGTGGTGAAAAAATGTTTAGGCTCCAGGTAAATTTTGATCAAGCATATTTGTTATTTTTTAGTAGATTGAATTGTTCTAACCTAGTAATAAAACTGCAATATGCTAGAAATAGTATATATGTATGTATATATGTATATACTTATATTTGTATATCGAAATATATTTATATTATCAGAATAAATACAAGTATTTTGAATTCTTAATTTCCTTAACAGGAACTTCAGCATGAAAATATTGTAGCACTCTATGATGTTCAGGTAACTTATTTTGGATTTTTTAAAAAAACTTGCATGTTTATTAATAAAGAACTTACATTTTTTTATTTCATAGAAATTTAAGTGCATCTTAATAGAAATAGAAAATTGCCTTATTGTTGAAAATATATATAGCTTGAGTTATATGTTTATTAAGAAATTGTTTAAAATAGCATAGAGCACTGGGATAAAATAAACAATATGCTGCACATGTAACCTCTTTAACAAATGATAATATACTACAGGAGTAGTGTTATTTTATAGGTCAAATAGAGGAATATTGATACCAGATCTAGCATATCCATGATAAATGTAGAAAGAGCTATTATGGACTAATAAAAAATTAGGTAGAGCTTTTTTTCTTATGGTAAAAGCAACATTTGCTAATTGTAGAGATATTAGAAAATAAACTAAAAACAAGGAAATCATGCATATTCATATCTCAGATTATCCCCATGGCATACAGTAGATACACATTATATTTGGAGGTGGGAAGGCTGTTCTAAAATTATCTTAAGTTGCCTTCTGAAGTCAAGGCAGTATTTCTATATAGTCAAAATTCCTCTTGGAAATTCTTTTAAAAAGCTCCACTTTGGAGAATATTACTTTTTATTTGGGTGGTGCGGGGGTGAAGTAACAGAGCTAGTAATTGGCTTATATTTAGAGGCCATATTGTATTTACAAAAAATCCTCTTTTTAATACCAGAATCACACTTGGTTTGTGTGGTTTGTGTGAGAGCCCCAGGGACCTGAAATCTATTGAGGGAACAGCAGATAAAGCTTTTCCCTCTACTCTCATTCCAAAGCAGGCCAGGCTACTTGATTTACATTATTTTGTTCTTTTGTTTTGCTTAGTCTGGACAGTTGAATTCCAGTAAATGGATATGTTATGTGATTCTGCTATTATGTCTAGCTAAAAATCTTTTTTGTATGCACTTGGATTACTCAAATTCATTCATTTTGTAAGGTTTTGAGTGCTACTATGTGGCAAGCATTGTTCTAACTGCTAGGAATAAAGTAGTAAGTAAAAGAAAGTCCTTGCTTCTGTGTACTTCATTTTAGTGGGGTGAGGAAAAAATGGACTGTTCTAAATGTACTTTTTTCTTGTTTTTCTCCTGTACTTTTTTCTTTAGTCATTTTTCTTGTCATATCACATCACCAAGTGTATAAACCCATGTTATAAGATGTTTAGGTTTTACTTGTTATAGAAAAGTACAGTGAGGATAATATATATCTGCTGAATATATCTGATTATTTCTTTTAAGTTCAGTTCCTAGAATTGGAATTAGCAGAGCAAATAGCATGCACAGTTTTAAAGTTTTCTGATTGTACAGTTTAATTGCTCTCCAAAAAAATTGCAAAGCACTGTTGAAACAAAGGGGGAAAAAAGTTTAAAGCCAAAACTAAATTTATCTCACAATCTCTAGCTGAAAGGTTAATTCTTCTCAGAGCCCTTTGTGTAGTTTGTCTTAGTCTCTGTTGATAGAGGGCACCAAGAAATACAAGTCAGTGCCTAGTACAAAAAATGTTAAATAATATTAGCTCTTAATTTCCCATTTTTTGAGATGTACAAAAATTTAATTGCAGAGTAGGTTTTGTTTTTTGAATAGAGAGGATACTTAGATTTTGTCTATCAGAATGAAAAATATTTTTATTTTTTTAAAAGTAGTTTTTATTTTTCAATTACAGTTGACATACAATATTATTAGTTTGAGGTGTACAACATAGTGATTAGACATTTATATAACTTACAAAGTGATTACCAAAATCTAGTACCCATCTGTCACCATACATAGTTATTACAGTATTATTGGTTATATTCCTTATGCTGTACTTTACATTCCCATGTTTATTTCTGTAACTACCAATTTATACTTCTTAATCCCTTCCCTCTTTTCATCCATTCCCCTTCATCCTCTCCCATCTGGCAGTCATCAAAATGTTCTCTGTATCTACGAGTTTCTTTCTGTTTTGTTTATTTTGTTATTTATATTCCACATATAAGTGATACCTGTGGCATTTGTCTTTCTCTGTCTAACTTACTCCACACAGCACAATACCCTCTAGGTCCATCCATGTTTTTATAGATGGCAAGATTTCATTCTTTTTTTATGGCTACTTCATTGTATATATTTACCACCTCTTTGTTATCCATTCATCCACTGATAGATACCCAGGTTGCCTCTATATCTTGGTTCTTGTAAATAATGCTGCCATGAATGTATGAATGCATATCTTTTTGAATTAAGTGTTTTGAGTTTCTTTGGATAAATATCCAGAGTAGAATTGCAGGGTACTTCTTTCTCTCTCATTATAGCCTTTGTTTTAAAGTCTATTTTGTCTGGGACAATTACTGATACCCCAGCTTTTTTTTTTCATTTCCATATTCATAAAATATCTTTTTCCATTGCTTTACTTCGAGTCTGTGTGTATCTTTTGATCTGAAGAGAGACTCTTGTAGGCAGCATATGTAGCGGGCCCTGTTTTCTCATCTCTCCAGCCATCCTTTGTCTTTTGATTAAAGAATTTAATCCACTTACATTTAAAGTAATTGTTGATAGATACATAGTTATTGCTATTTTATTATTCATATTTTTGATCTTTTTTTTTCTTATTTTTATAAAAGAAGTCCCATTTAACATTTCTTAAAATACTGTTTTGGTGGTGATAAAATCTTTTAGCTATTTCTTGTCTGGAAGCTCTTTATTTGTCCTTCGGTTCTAAGGGATAGCTTTGCTGGGTAGATTAATATTGGTTTTGGTCCTTGCTTTTTATCACTTTGAATATTTCATTCTGATCCCTTCTGGCCTACAAAGTTTCTGTTGGGAAATCAGCTGACAGTCTTATGGAGCTCCCTTATAGGTAACTGTTTTTCTCTTACTGCCTTTAAGATTCTCTTTGTTTTTCACCTTTGGCATTTGGTGTGTCCTGGTGTGTGCCTCTTTGGGTTCCTCTTGTTTGGGACTCTGCACTTCTTGGGTTGGTATGTATTTCCTTCACCAGGTTAGGGAAATTTTCCATCATTATTTCTTCAAATAGGTTTTCCAATCCTTGTTCTCTCTTCTTGTGGTACCCCTGTGATGCGAATGTTGGTACACTTGATGTTGTCTCAGAGGTCCCTTAAACTATCCTCATTTTATAAAATTCATTTTTCTTTTTGCTGTTCTGATTGGATATTTTCTGCTGCCTTATCTTCCAAATCAGAGATTTGATCCTCTGCTTCTTCTATCTACTGTTGATTCCTTCAAGTTATCCTTCATTTTAGTTAGTATATTCTTCATTTCTGACTGGTTCTTTTTTATGATTTTCTATTTTTCTTTTTCCTGTCTCTTTGTTGAGGTTTTCACTGAGATAATCTATTTTTTCCTTAAGTTCATTGAGCATCCTTATAACCAGTGTTTTGAATTCTGCATTTGGTAGATTGCTTGTCTCCATTTTATTTAGTGGGTTTTGTTTGTTTGTTTGTTTTGTTTTGTCCTGTTCTTTCATTTGGGACATGTTTCTTTGTCTACTCATTTCGTCTGCCTCCCCTTTTTTGTTTCTGTGTATATGCAGAACTACTGTGTCTCCTGGTCTTAGAAGAGTGGTCTTATGTAGTAGGTGTTCTGTGGGGGCTCAGTGGCACAGTCTTTCTGGTCACCTGAGCAGGGTGTTCCAGGTGTGTCCCTTATGTGGGTTGTTTGTGCCCTCCAGTTGTACTTGAACCTTGGTTGCTGTTTGCATGTCAGTGGGCGAGACTGACCCTCAGGCTGATTGGTTGTGAGGACTAGCTGTGACTACAGTGGAGGACCTGTTGTGCAGGGGCTGACCCTACATAGCAAGATTCGCTTTAGTGGGGCTCTGGTGCCTGCCCAGTTTGCTCTCTGGGTGTATCGTTTGTGGTGGTGGTTGGGTGGTGCTCTTAAAACCTGATTGCACCCTTTTGAGATGTTTCTTATTTTTCTGCATTAGAAACTGCTGCAGAGAAAGCTGTGTACATGCATCTTTGCTTATTTGTATGAAGGTTTCTATAGAATAAATTTTTTGACATGGAATTGCTTAGTTACCATGTTGCCTTCCAGAAGGTTGTGCCAATGTATTTTGACAAATAATGACGTATGGTTTTTTTTTTTTCTTTTCTTGACAGTCTCGTAGGAGGAAAATAAGATATTTTAAGTTTTATTTTTTATTTCATTAATCGTTAGTGCACTGACCATCTTCAAGTTTTATTTGCCTTTTTGTATTTCTGTGACTTTTCTGTTGCTATTCTGCGATGCTTCTTTTGTGTTCATTTTTCTTACTGACTTCTTTGTGATTAGTATTTCTTGAGACAGTTAATGAGATGTACAGGAATATAGTGGTGAACAAAATAGAAATGGTTCTTGCCCTTGTGGAACTTACAGTAGTATAATTGGGGAAGATAACATGAAGCAAATATTTAACTAATTCGAAGTGTGCACAGTGCTGTAAGGGAGAAGTATGGGAGAGACTTGGAGGAAACATAGGGGTTAGGGGAGTAGGGCAACTCTTTTTGTGCAGCTAGGGAAGACCATCTGAATAAAGGATATTTAAACAGACTTGATGGAAGAGTGAAAGAAGGCTAGGCTCTGGTAGGTAAGAGAAGAGCAAGTAAGCTTCCCAAGCAGTTGAGGCCTTCTGTGAAGATCAGACAGGAAAGATCAGAGTTTGAGGAACTGGAAGAAGGCCAGTGTGATGGGAGTACGGGAGTGAGGGAGAGAGTGGGGTTAGATGATGCTGGAGAGGTTTGCATGGTCCACCTGAGGTCTTTATTCTAAGGACAATGCAAAGCCATCGAAGAGTTTTGAAAGTGGAAGAGTGATTTCATGTCTGTTTTTAGAAAGATACATATCTTTGAACATTCTGGGCATGAGATAAGTATTGTCAGTTAGGAGTACTTAACTTCATGATTGTCAATGATATGGATAAATATCCACTTGGGAATTTTTAGAATAGTGAGAAAAAGATGATTCATTTAGTAGATGGTGCTGGCAAAACTGAGACAT